TCACGCTGCCTGCCATTGAAGAAAAATATCAAATCCTGACAAGCATAATTACCATTCACCTTGCCATTAAAAAAGTATAAAAGCTCACCCATACAGCACTCCAAAAGCACACAGAGTTAAGCCATCCGAAGCAAACCAGAGAGAAAAAAAAAACTAAGTTAGAAAGATGAGTTCAAGCTGGTCAGTAGAGGTGGAGACCAAAGCTCCAGCAGCTGCCATCTTTAAGGCCACATTCATTGACTGGCATAATCTCGGTCCTAAGCTCATCCCTGAAGTTATCTCTGGTGTTACATTAATTTCTGGAGATGGTAGTCCGGGGAGCATCAGGCAAATCAACTTCACCCCTGGTACACACCTTCATCTCTTCCTTTTGCTTAAGCTCTCTCTATTATACACATATGCAGTCCTTCATCTGTTTCATGGCTAATCAGCTTTTGTTTTTTTTTAATTTCTTTTCGCAGGGGCACCCTTCAGTTTTGTGAAGGAGCGTCTTGAATTCATCGATCATGAAAAACTGGAGCTGAAGCTCTCTGTTGTGGAGGGAGGACATTTGGGCATCAAAATAGAGTCTGCAACTTCACATATCAAGGTGGAGAAAAAGGGACATGGATCCATTGTTAAGGTGACGGCAACATATAAGGCCATCGCCGGAGTTGATGTTGCAGAGGATGTTAAGAAGGCCAAGGAAGGTTTCATCAACAGTGTCAAGGCAGTGGAGGCACATCTTGCAGCCAACCCTGGATCTTATGCTTAAAAATCTGATATTTTGCTGATCAGTAAGAGTGTGTTTGATATTGTTGTGTGGTAATAAAAGAGGGTTGGATGACAGTGCTTGTGTGTCTGAATTGTTATATGTTATGATTTAAGTTTGGAATAAATAAAATTAAAAGGATGTTATGTTAGTTTTTTTAGAGATTATTGTTGAGGACTGTGGATGATTGAAGATCCAAATTAGAACCCAAATCAAATCTTCACTCTGTTTGATTTGACATTAAAAATCAAAATCAAATTCAATCAAATTAAAACAAATTTCATTAAGTTTATAGTTTAATCATGAAAATAGAAAATTAACATTAAAAATCATAAACAAGTGAATTTGTAAATAAAAAGGTCAAAATAAAATATAAATCAAATTCAAGATAAATAAAATTCAAATTCAAAATAAATTTAATGTTAAAAAGTCTAATAATTTCAGAAATAAAATATAATTTTGATCATAACTTAAAGCATACTTAAATCTAAGTCAAATAACATAATTTCATATTCCATTTAATTCAATCAAGTTAAAATTTAAATCAATCCCATATTCAATTTAAATTGATTAATATATTTTTTTAAAATTACATGAACCTACACTCAAACTAAAGCTAAACCTAACCAAACATCTACATTTGAATTCAATCCCAAATTCAATCACTAAAGAACCAAGTCTAAGTAGAAAGATTCGATTTTCACAAACCTGCACACAATAAATATACATAGCCTAATGGCTTACTTAATCATCATCACAACTCAAAAACTACATCACGAACAAGTACAAATAATGATAACAAACATAATTTAACAAATACATATCTAAATTTATAAAAGTTCAGAAGTACACAAAATAAATGTTCACATAATCAGAAATGAAAAAAAACATAAACCCATATGGTGGGCGAACATCATTGAACACCTAATGCAACTTCTAATCCTTCTCCTCCTCCTCCACATAACTCATATGTTGCTTGCTCTGGTGATTTACCAAACTCTCCATCAAGCATGCTATAATATCTGCAACCATTTGCTCACCTTCATGTACTTGATGGAGCTCTTCATTCATGGCACTGATGTGCCTGAAAAAGCTCAGTATGCTTAGCCTGTAACGAGCTCGGGCTACCCACGGCAAAACGAAAACGGTCAACCTCAAATGCAACGCCCTTCGCGTCTAAACCATGCACTTTTTCCTTTTTCTTCCTCGTTGCCTATGTCCATAACTCAAAATCAGACTGTGCAGTGGTAGACTGGATACCACTGTTGTTGATAGATGACTGGTCTGGTTATCCAAATCCCTATGTCTCTCCCGGAACTACTTGTACTTCTCCAATATAATTAAAATCAAAGATTAATTGTTATTTTAAATATTAATAGTCATAAAAAAGTAGATAGACGGTTTTTTTACTTACATTGACAATGCGAGAGTGGACGAAGACCCACTGATGCGAGCCCGGGCGCTGATGCATCAAGTCATGCAACTCTGCAATGGAGGTCTATCTGTCAAGTTACTTGACATGTGTTCATGAGATAATAGTAAGTATCACATAATAATATAAATCATTATTTTTTTTTTAAGATGATCTTATCAATCTCTAGTAGTGCTTTGTGTTGGGGATCGAACCCTCAATGTAAGGTGAGCCCCCCCTTGCTTCGTCTATCTATCTGCTCTGTTGGCTCATCTGTCTCTACTTTTGATAATCATAAGAAACACAGGCTCAATTCAAGTCAATCCAAACATCCTCACCCACCAAGACGGGTCTCTCCCTTCCTGTGGGCTATGGTGAACATTCTCATCCAGACTGTTGCAGGATGATCGAATTATTATTTATGGAAAAACAAACGTAATATTATTTGTGTTTCTTTTTTTTTTAATTTATTGCTGTTTTAAATGCTGAGGTTGATATTAGTCAACCTTAGTCAGGATTTGATATTGTTTTTGAATGGAAGGCAGCGTGATTGAATGAACTCTTGGCTAAAATGTGAAAATGTGAAAAATAGGAGGCGGTTGTATGGAAACGGTCCAAATTTTCTTTTTGTTGTTTTGTCTCTGACGAAATTAGACAATTGTGTGTTCAATACAACGTGCATGAATGTTGAAAGCAGGAGCACCTTTTGACTAAGGCTGCCGAATTTAGCTTGAAGATCATTAATAGTTTGATTTAGAATCGAAATAAATGAGTCGGTCTATGAGTCAAAACTTTGGATCATTTTTTTTTACAAGCCACACACACATCGGATGGAACTGGCTTGAGATCGGCTCGAAATATGTTTTATTTATAAAAACTATATATACAATGTTGAATAAAATCAGATACAATGAGCCGCGAGCCGATTAGGAGCTGAAATGGATTCAAATAACTTGATTTGAGTAAGGTTATTTTGATGTCAAGCCTGATTGAGCCGGTTTCAAGCCGATATTGAGCTAGAATGGATCCAAATAACTTACTTTGAGCCAACCCATTTCAATTTCAAACCGGATCGAACTCGATTCAATTTCAAGCCAAGCTGGCTCAAAATTGAATATAATAAGCAAATTTCAAGCAGACCTTAACTCGACATGAAATTGAATTGTTAACAGCCCTCTTTTGATGTGGAAGACCAAAGTTATAGTCGTATTTATTTATTTATCATAATTGTTAAGTCATTTTAATGGCAACCACTTTTTTCTTAAGTGAGAGAGAACAGTCTAATAGAATTCTTGTTAGGCTATTATTATTATTATTATTATTATTATTATTATTATTATTATTATTATTATTATTATTATTATTATTATTATTATTATTATTATTATTAATGCTTCAAGCCAAATTCTTAGTCATTGGTCTATAGTTTTGGAGCGAAGTTCCAGAAGTGTTTGATTGAGTGGGAATGGTTAAAAGTATTTGGATAACCAAGACAAATCTGAAGGCGTTGGAAAGATATGGGCCATTAAGAACCGTATCTTTACATGATTCTTTCTTAAAATGAAGTAACAGTTAGTATGGTTGTATTTTGATATAATATTTTATTATGACATAAGAAATATCTTGTGTGATTGTGAGAGGGTTAATTGTGTTATGCTCTCCTTGGATTAGGAACTCTAATGCACATGCATTTAGAAGGGTTAATTGTGTTATGATCTCAATGGCGGGAGGACTCTATAGCATAGCTAAATTTGTATTAGTAAGATGGGTTACTTTTGAATATCCATAGGAACATAAATGCATGCAATTAAATTGATAATTGTGATATCATGTTAACAATGCTAATGAACACACATGGGATCAGTTCAAAATATGGTAGAGGTAAGCAATATGTTTTATAACCTCATTAATCAGCTCTAGCATAAATAGTTTCATCATTGATTATTATGTCTACGTGGATATATCCAATGTGTTCTCGAGTGAGAGAGAACACTTTGAATGTTTTAAGATGACCTAGCCCAATATTGTGAGATTTTATAGCCTTGTATGAAAAATAGCTCCAACTTATTTAAAATTCATCTTAGTCGCCTTAAGCCTTCATTACACTTACAATATCTTCTAGGCATTGAATCTAGTCCAGTCGAAGCCAATAAGAGGCTTGCAGCACCATCCCAAACCAAAACCATTTTAGAGCTAAAGAGGCTTAGTTAAAAGAGCCATTAGAGGGTACTAGCCTTAAGGAATTTTGTTTTAGCTTTCTTATCACTTGAAGCTCTCCAATCAAATTGGAAGGATAATTTGGCCTTAGCCTAGGAATGCACTTCATGCACTTGCCCAACCATGTGCTTCATCATCTTAACAGTATACATTGCATAGATCATGCTTTAAGTACCATCGCATCCCTCCTTAATTATGAGCTTGTTATAAGATCTTGAAACTCTCAATTTAGTTCACTATAGAAGAAAAAAAATTCTTCTCCATTATATATCTTGATCTTGTGTTCCCTCTTAGCATAAAGCTAGTAGACAACTTGGGATCAAGATCTATGGGCTATGATGATAGATCCAAAGGCTGATGTTTGAATTGTGATTATGTCAACTCAAATTAATTTGAGCATATAATGTGAAATTATTAAAATAAATTCATGCTAAATAAACTTTTCTAACAAATGTAAGTACATATGAATTGTGTAGTATGTATGTAATTTTTTTTTTTTCATTTATGTAATTGTCAATCATTTCAATAATCTATATATCTTTAAATATCTTATAGATCAATCAATTTAGCATTAATTCATTCATCCAATCATCTAACCATGCATATTATAACCCGAAAAACTAACATAACATTCATTTTATTCTGCTTATAGCAAAGCATAAACCACAACATACAACAATTAAATACAAAAGCACTCTCATGAAACCTCTTCTCAGCAGATTGACAAACCAATCCTCTTTATTACCACACCACAATCCCAAACACACTCACACTCTTACTTGAGGAGCAAAGTCTAAGATTTTTATGCATAGGTTCCAGGATTGGCTGCAAGATATTCCTCCACAGCCTTCACGCTCTTGATGAAACCTTCCTTTCCCTTCTCGATGTCCTCTGCAACATCAGCGCCCGCGATGGCTTTATATGTTGCTGTGAGCTTAACAACAGACCCGTTCCCCTTTGGCTCCACCTTGATGTGTGAAGTTGCAGACTCAAGTTTGGATCCCAAATGTCCGCCCTCCACTACAGAAACCTTCACCTCATGCTTTTCATGATCGATGAAATCAAGCCGCTCCTTCACGAAGCTAAAAGGTACCACTGCACAAGAAGACAAAATACTCACTATAACAAGTCAACTTTGTTCACAAGTAATAAATTTACTTAAAACTATGTTATAATTAAATTTTTAGGAATAATTACATAGAAATCCTCCGAAACATTGATATTTATAAATTAATCATCCAGATGACTTTCTTAAACTATTGAGTTGTGTGTTTATGTGTGTCGTGATCAAACTATTGAGGATTTGATAAAAAGTGAAAATCACTGGTGGGATTTTTTCATGAATTTTAATATTTGAGTGAGAATTTAAAAAAATCGATGAAAAGAGAGCGGTAGATTTGTAAATAGTAAGTTATGTGTGGTTTGTATATAATTACCCCTATTTTTTTAATTATGTGAGAGAATCACATGTTCAATTCTCCCAAAATTTGAATCAATCTTCGAAAAGAGACCTGAAACATAAGAAAGGGACGAAGATGATGCAAACCTGGGGAGAAGTTGATCTGCCTGACGCTCCCCGGACTGCCATCTCCAGAGATTAAAGTGACACCAGTGATAAGCTCAGGGAGGAGCTTAGGACCGAGTTTATCCCAGTCAATGAAAGTGGCCTTAAAGACAGCAGCCGCTGGGGATTTGGTTTCAACCTCCACAGACCAGCTAGAACTCATCTTCCCAACTTTTACTTATAGTTTGCTTCAGATTGCTGAAGTCTTTGTTTAGCTGTGGGTGTGCTCATGGAGTGCGGAATGGTGGAGCTTTTATAGAGATTTAATTGAAGGGATAGGTGTTCTAGAAGGTGCAGGCTTTTCAAAGTTTGGTGGCGTAATTGAGTGTGCTATTGACTGCAATGTTTGAATGTGGAAAAAAATGAAGCATGTGATGAGGTGGAGGGGAGGAATTAGTTCGTTCCCACCAAACTTACTGTTTAAGCTCGTGTCTGGAGTTCGGATGTAGAGCTGTGTTGGGACAACGAACATAATACAGTAGGGCGAAGCGGGAACTCGGACTTCCGTTGTATCGCGTTCTTTGTTTGGACGCAGCTCGCGTCCAGACTACGAACACAATATTTTATTATTTGAAATGACAGAGATCTGAAATGACGAAAATTTATCGTTTTTATGAGATAACTTTGTCTCCTGCTATTTCTGGAACGAAAATTTTTTGCAGATGTTGGGGTCTTTGATTTAACCGAACGGATTTTCACCGTGTTCTGACACGAAGCCTTAGTGATGTTATTAGAGAGCAGTGTTTTTAATGACTGTATTAATTATTGGTTAAACTTGACTTTGAAGTCATTGTTCTGAAGTCATGGGGAGAACATCTAGAAGTTCTTGGTGGACGGGGAAGGAGTAATGGTTAACTAAATATGTTTAGTGTGTGATGAATGTGTGATGTTATTGAAATATTTTAATTATAAGTTAATTAGTTGTGAATTATAGTACAAAAGCTGAGGGACAAAATGGTTTTTTTCTTGATTAATGAAAGATTTACATTTCATGCAATTTTTCTTAAATTTAAATACAAAGTATGATTAGTTATGTATGTATATTTATACAAAAAAAAATTAAATGCAAAGTATGATTATACAAAAAGATCAGAAGATTGGGTCGGGGTGACCGATCAAATCAAAATGCTCACGTGACTAATATGTGATTATGCAAAACATGACAAATGAGCAGGCAAGCAATGCAACCCAATGCATTTGATGAGACGTTGAACTCATCCTATCAAACTTGCATAGGATCTAAGTTTTGGGTGAAGTCGTAGATACCATCCGTTATGAATGTAACGGAGGGCCTACCTAGCCTTTGCAATCTAGGGAACGAGGATCAAAAGAAATCCCACGTTCTCTAGATTGAAGTGGCTTCAACCCATTAACCGACCGAGATAATCATGAGGTTTCTAGTCTCCCAAACAATTAGGAAAAAGTTCTAGGGTTTAGAGAGGAAAATCTCAAATTCGTGTGGCTAAAATCAATGAGAAAGCTTTCTAACCTAGCGACTTACTCTAACACAGAACCTAAGTCCTTAATCCTCTAACATCGAGACCTAGGGGACTTTGGGAATAAAAATTTGCAAGGAATTTAGGGAATTCACCTACGTGACGGTTAAGGAAGCGTGCTCTCAGCTTGGTCCAAGCTCCAACCTCGTGTCGGTGATGCTACCTCCCACACTTCTCCAAAGATGGAAGAAACTCTCCTAATGAGGGAGAATCTGACGAAGCTCCGAGTGAATCTTTCTCCTAGCACATGTGCATTGGGTTCGCGACGTGGGGGAGTCGAGTACTCTGTATTCTGGAGCGGTTCCAACGTGGGTTCAACATGGATGCATCTTAAGAACATATGTGCGAGCGCGCTAGAGGTGGCACTGGTGAACCAATGTTAAAGCGGATGCATCGCGATAGCACAGGGGTTCCCTGTTCCCATTTTCTGACGCACGTCGCGCGGGTTTGGCGTGGGCTCTCTCAAAGAGTGAAGGTGCAGGTGTGTAAAATCTCTAGGGCTAGTGTGCCTGAGCATTGGATGCGTAGGAGTGCTTGAGCATTGGATGCGCGGGCGTGCTTGATTTTCGATGAGGGTTCACTTGATTTTTGGTGTGGGTGTCCTTTTCAAGCATTCAATGGATCCTGGCTGGCACAAGTCACAGGACCACCTCATAGGAGTGGAGATTCACCTCTCAGGCTCTTAAGCAGCGCACCAGAGAGCCCTGATGAATATCTTGAGCTGCGGGGAGAGTATATGTGTAGAGCATAACCCTGTTAGGCTCAAGCAGACATCCAACACAAATGATATAAAAAAATGATGCCAACAACAACAACCTAGGTGACCTTGGTGTATCAAGCATTTAATCCCTTCATTTAATTAAAAACATTTTTCTGTTGAATACTCTTTTGCTTGGTGAAAATGACAATACTATGATTGGTCTCCAACATCAAGATTTTTTAATGACCTTGACCACTTGACGACCTCTTTACTTTTGATAGCCATTCGGATATTGACTTGTAAGTTTGTTGAAATAAGAGTTCTAGTTGGTTTTAATAGAAGTTTGATGGTTTTAACTCAAAAAATTACCTCGAGATTCGTGTTTGGTGATGAAAATTTGTTAACGTCGTATTAATTAGTAAATGTAAATGACACTTTTCTATGTACTTTGATGCTTTGAATATTCTTTTATTGTTTTTATTTAATATTTATCTTTGGAGAGGGAAGTTCCCTTTGATGAATCCTGCTAAATCTTTCTAAAATTGTTAAATTGTTTCCTAGAATTTATTATGATTTACTTACGAGAATATCAAATAGTTTTCAGGATTTAATCACCTCAAGATTTGATAAAGAAGCTTCGTTCAAGCAGGCGATGGTTTTGGGTGAAACCAGTAGGTAGAGTGACATAAGCAAGAATTTTGGGTAGAGATGGAAGTTTTTGGTGAAATTAGGAGAGGGTAAGTATGCCAGAGAGAGTTCTGGGTAGACTGAGGAATAGGAAGATAGGTTTGTGGTTTTAATTTATTTTTATTTAACTTAATTTTATTATTTTAATTTATTAATAATTAATCAATAACTTACATATTATCAAATTAAACATGATTAGATAAATTTATATGTAATTATTTAATATTTAATTAATAAATGAAAATATATTTTAAATTTTAAATTATTTAATAGAATTCTAAATAATTTTTTTAAAATTTATATAATGAACAATTGATTAATGTTAAATTATTGATTAACAAGTAATAGTTTTAAAAAATAATTATTAATTTATATAATTAATTATTAATTAATGTAAATGCTTCTCTTTTATATATTTTGAGGCTTTCATACTCGTTTATATTATATATGAATGGTGCAGGTTGAATCCAACACCCTACAACATTTTTCTAATTAATTTAAATAAACTAATTTCTAGTTGAACACGAATAAAATATGTAAATTGGGCCAAACACGAGTGAAGCCTGACCAGCTCAAGCCCAGCTCGTTTAAGGATTGGACACAACTAGAACAACTATCTTTTGAAATAATAAATACATGAAGCAAAGTTTATTAAAGTTATATTGAATAATCAAATAGATCAATAATTAAAATATTATATTGCCAATTTTTTTTTGTCACATCAAATGCTTAAATCTTTTATATCAGATAAAATTGAGTGTTTCTTTTTGAAGAACTTAAGCACATAAATCAAAATAAATGAAACAAATTAAATTACCTTAATGCTTATGCTCAGACATAACTTTATTTACTTACCTCCAACATCTCATTACTTGAAACATTACTAGATTGTAAGTTAACATTTTCAGCTTCATCATCATCTAAAAAGCTTAAGATAGACATAATAGCTTAAAATGTTTGTTTTATTGATGGTAATTGCCACACAATACTACCTATTATTTTATATTTCTAGCATTCGAATTGTATGAGTTTCATTTAAAGGATATTCGAGGAACGCACATCGTAGACATACGCACAATTTTTTGTTACTTCGTGCATTATAGCAATAATCATCATATTTTTAACATTGCTTCTTCTATAATTCTTCCAAAATTTGAATAAGGTTAATATGAAAACTTTGGGAAATATGCATATAAAGATTTGAATATTATCAATGTAAAAAATTAAAAGTTTAAATATTAGACATGTAAATCTATATATAAATTGTGATATATATGAAAATGCCTTTTTAACTATGTGTGTTATGAGAATATTAGTGCATGATATATATTTATATTATTTCATAGCATTATCTAAAAAGCAATTAGTGATCAAAATGTGCAAGATATACAAGCATATAATGTAAATTTTAAATGTTTGATAAAAATGATATCATATTTCCCACTATAGTATATGTACGCACAAAAATGATCTGCACAGATGTGAAGACAACTCGTCCCTCGAGATAAAACTAAAATGTCCTACACAACTCTTTTTAAAAAGAAAGGGCAATTATGTAATTTTATATTTTGCCCATTATCTTTTATAAATAGAAGGACTATAACATATATTAAATGTTTTTTGTTTGTTCTCCTCTCTTATAATATAAATATTCAGTGAAATACAATGGGTCTAAAAACCTAGAGAACGCCCTATTTTCAATATTAGAGTGCAAGTCTTCCACACCCCCTCTCTCTTCCTCTATCTCCCTCAGTGTGAATTCCATTAATACAATATTTAATTTCTATGGGGAAATGTCAATAAGCAAATGCCAAAGAGTAATATAATGTTTTACAAGAGAGAACTATTGAAGTAATATAATAATATGCATATAACATGCATGATGTGGTACATAATGACAAGTGGATGTCAATAAGCAAATGCACAGAGTAATGTGCCCAAGTCGGGCACAAGTAACCGCTATGAGTACATGAGGACATATGATCACAGGTGCACGCTACAGTGTTGGTGCCAGTGCCGTAGTTCAAGACACATGCAATGATGCAACAATCAAGTGAGGTTAGTCGATCGGTCAATTAGGTCGATGGCGGATGATCGATCAATGGTTCGGGGGTGGCCGATCGGACCATGTCAACGGAAAAATGGTCAATCGATTGATCGGGTCAGAAGCAGCCAATTAATCAAGTCGAAGGGCAAGTGGTCGATCGGGACGGTGGAGGGCAAAAAATATAAAAAAGTTGCTTAATACAAATGCTTATGTAAGTAATAAAAAGAGGCATGTGCACACATACCACTCATCTCCTATGTACTTACATCAATCACCTAAACTTTTATTTTTTTACATTTATACCACCAAAATCATTCATGTCATAAAAAGTGCCACGTTTTGAACTTTGAAAAAAAAAGTCCACCTTTTCATGCGTAAAAAAGGTGTAGATATGTAAATACAAAAAAATTGAGTGGTATGCATATGAATCTTTCTAATAAAAAATGTCAACCGAATCAGGAGAGCAAAACTAAAGCAGATAAGCAGAACCAAACAAAGCTTAGTAGTAGTTCCAACAATCTTTCAAAGATATCAACAAAATGAACGGTTAGATTCCACTGCGATAAAACATGAAACAGGAAAAACGAAAGCTCAAAATCACTCCCTCCATACAAGACCAGAAACGCCTCGAAACAAACAAGAAAACGCCATCGATAAAGGGATAAAACCTGCAGCTCTTAGGGATAAATGATAACAACTCACCGTTAAGTTTAGAATTTACTCCTTTGACATTAGCAGATCAATTTATGCCACTTCAGCATCTGCAGATTCGAGGATGGCTGCCTCGGCTTCTCGAACCTCCTTCTCGGTCTTCCTGCCTTTCTTAGACTTGTAGTAGACGCTCATAAAGGTTCCCACGGCTCCATATTTCCTGCGGCATTGCTCATACAGGCCTCCATCAAACATCCTCCAGAAATCCTTCTCACTGAGTTCGGAAACTGCATACTGGGGTTGGAAGCCATGGTTCTCAATCATCCACTGTTCAAGATGATGGACGGCCTCCGAGCCATTGTATTCCTCACCTCTGAGGACAGGTCCCGGAGCATAGTATACACCAATGTCGGTGAACATTTGAGCATAGCTCGTGTCTCCCTGCCTGTGGTGGTGCTCAAAGCCCGGCTCTGGAAACACCGCGGTTTTAACTGGGAGTTTGAAGAGGCGATGAGGACAGAGCCAGATGGGATAAACCTGGATATAGATTTGAATTCAAAAAATAATAATAATAATAATAATAATAATAATTAACATTAATTAAACTCAGACATGATAACAATCATGTTAGTTTGGAATTGATGCATAATTAATGACATTTCGGAGATCATTTTTGGTTTATAAGGTGTTAGTTCACAATCATTGCATGCATTGGTGAATTCTTTGATATCATTTTGGGCCTGTAGAAGTAATTATTATTACTATTATTATTGTCATTATTATTTTTTCTATAAAAGCTTGATGCAATAGATGCCTTGATGGCACATGGGGTATGAGAAAAGTTTTATCAAAGAAGACGGAGCACCAAGAGATTGTGTAGGACGGGCCTAAGAATATTCATGGTAGTTGTGTCAAGGGTAAATTATGAGAAAATAGCAATGTTTTCATTTAAGATAGTTATGAACAATCAATAACTCGGAGCAAGATCCATAAACATGTGCGACAGTAAAATGAATAGAAACCATAATAGAAAATACATAGATGGCAAATTTTGATTTGCCAAGCCATGCTTCATTAATAATAAATTTAATCATGGCATTTTCTAAGGTGAGAAGAGGTTTGCAATTGAGCAACAACAAACAAATTGGTTTGTTGTCATTAGAGATAACTACCAAGAATTGAAGAATAGCCTACATATAAATTTTGATCAAAGCTAGAATAGAAAGAACTTCAGTCAAAAGAGCAATAACTTTTTTCTAAGGGCCTGTCTAAAATTGGGTCAACATAGAAAGAAGTCAAACAAAAGAGTGAAAATGTTTTCTAAGGGCCTGTCTATGATTTTGAAGAATGCGACACAATTGGCATCGATGTGACAGCCCATTAGTTAATAATTGAGTGGTAAGAAAATGGCAAATGACCTTAGTCATATCATAGCTTCCATGTTAAGTGTGAATGAAAAGAGTGGATGTGCTATGAATTTATGTGAAACCTTGTGTTTTGCAGCAACCTAATCCCTCATAGGTTGAGAAATGTTTAATTAAATGATCCAGATGTTTGGTGGGTGCGGGCTCACTGCTAGTGACTTACTCCTAGACTAACAATCCTTCGAAGAAACTTCACCATTTTCTTGTGCGAAAGAATATAATTGGAGCCAACTAGAGTACTGGCGAAAAAATGAATGGTAGTTTTTAGAACTGAGCAAAATTTATGAGTTTTTGATGGAATTCAAAGGGGCATCAATTCTATGATTGCCGAGTACTTGAGAGCAAGATTGTAGATGAATAAGCAAGGGCATAAAAAGTAGTCATACACCAAATTATAGTTCTGCAAATAGAGTTTTGAGGCACATAAATCAAGTCACCGACCTATCTTATCCACTAATGGGATTCAAGCACTTGAAGGAGGGCTCCCTTGGGATCTTGATATCTTGAAAAAAAAGAAGCCATGAATGATATACAAAAAAGGGCAACCTGGTAGGGCAAGTGGAAAAACACAACCGCAAGAAAATAATTTGTCTAAACTTTGTGACAGTGCTGATGAGTGATAGCAAATTCTGATTGAAAATAAGGGCAAGTTGCAATCAATGGTAGAAGGTGATAGGAGAGTCAATGCAATCACAAGAAGTCAATAGCAGGCTTGCTATGATCGAGCAATCACTATTTCACCATCATGATAGAGAGACTATAATGGTACCAACAATGCATGGGATAGACAATGATCAACATAAGGGAAGTTGAAAATCAAAGCAATCGCAAGAAAAATGGGCCTTAATAGTGGCAGATTATGATAATCGAGAAGATCATAATGGTGTTAGAAACACTTGGCTTCTAGAAAAATTTAACACTATTTTGGCTATAATATTATGATATAAATAACGAAAAGCTGGAGAAATTTTTCTCTACTTCTTGATGAACATACACATATAAAAGGTCTATTTTAAAGAAAAAATGAAGCAAAAAAGGATAACAAAATATTCTACATAGTGATAGAATATCATACTAATGAATCATTTCTATTAAGGGGTTCAAACACTTCGTAAAGTATTTGTAGTAATGTGAACACTGCATGAAATTGTAATGGGAAAACCTGCAAGAGCGCGATGGAAACACATGAATGAGCATAATAAAACATCAAATCATGTCGAGGAAAGTTCTTAAACAAGGTTAAGATTTAATGAACTGCATGGGGCACTGCCTAAGAAAAAAAAGATAAGCCATTATCGTGATAGCTTACCAAGAAGATAGGGATCATAATTAGGCACAAACTATATGAGGTTAAGGAAAATTGTTAGGCAAAGAATTACCTCCATTTCTCGGTGAACAAATTCAAGAGCCTCACCAACTTTGTATAGAGGAACCAACAAATCTTGTATCACGTGCCTATCATGATAGTAATTCCTAATAGTGTCACCCTGTGTAGCCTTAAGTAGTGAAACCTTTGGAGGCATGATCCAACCAAGAAGCCACCTGAACCACCATTGATCGGCAAATGGCAATATAAGCTTTCCCTCCCAATAAATACATCTTGTGTGCCTGTGATAATATTCCCTGGTTGGAATGTACTCAACAAACTCACCCTTCTTTAGTGCTTTCTGGGCATGTTGGTAAAACCAAGGCTTAAACCACCATCCTTGGTTGTTGATTACGTTTCCTTTTTTCTTTGCCTCTTCCTTAGAAGCATATACTCCAGTCATGAATACAGCTTCTGTAGGAGTGTATATCATCCCCTCAACAAAATCAGGAATCTTTGATTGGTCTCCATCCCTTGGTGCAAAAGAATCCGCATATGCCTGTGCAAGTTCTTTCAAGTTTCCTCTTGCTGGTTTGTAAGTTAACTTCATGTACTCTTTAACAGGTATGAGCTTAATCTCTGCAGAAACCATAAGCCCAAGTGTTCCTTGAGACCATGGAATAGCATAGAAAAGGTCAGAGTACTCGTTATCTTTTGTTGCCGTGACAACACGCCCATCAGCAAGCACAACTTCCAAAGCAACTACAGTATCAGAGAACAGGCCATATATATGAGAGCTTCCTTCTATGCCATAGCCATTGATTAGACCACCCACCGTGAGATCATCAAGCTCAGCAACGACAGCAAGAGCTAAATTCATGGGAACAGTAGCTCTTGTAATTTGGCCCATATTAACAAGAGGCTCCACCTTGGCAACCATCCTCTCTTTATCAATCTCGATTATATTTCTAAATGCTGAAAGATCAACCTCAAAATGCCTAGCACGTTTATAATCAACATTTCTCATGCCCACTGCTATATACGGCTTTCTGGCAGTGCACACAAGGCCATCTTTTGTGGGATTTCTCTGCTTGATACGATCCACAACTTTCTTAACATTTTCTTCGTGTTCTTTCTGTCGTCTTTTATCTGATTTCATTGCAGATTTTACATCGCCTATGTAAGTAAGAAAGTAGAGAGTGAAAGAAATTGGGAGGACAACAAAGATAACAACTATCCATCGGAAATGAACCAAAAAATCCACAAATTCCTTCTTCCTTTTCGGTCGAAGGGGTGCCCGAAGATCAGACATAGTTGGTTCTTTATGCTGAGGAGATGAAAAGGATTAAATATGTAAGCTCAAGCAACACTTATTTGATAAAGGCATTCAGTAGAAATAGTACACAGATGAAAATAATAACCAATCAGACAGTTAAAAATATATAGCGGTTAAAAATGAGACTAATAAGATAAAATGGAAGAACCAGCGACACAGAAAGATTAAACCAGAAAATATTTATACCGCTAATCTCTGATACCCAAGAAAAAATTTTAGAAATAAAATATTTTCTATAAACATTTACATGTAACAGTCAGATGCTTATTCATGCCACAAATTTCAATAATAAACTAGCATGAAATAAAATAAAATATCAAAAATTGTCATCCTAGAAGGGAAAAGACAATAAAAGACAAATGAAAGAATTTGAAAAGGGTAAATGAATTTATATTGTTAGGATTTTATTCAATAGTTTAGTCAATATAACAACATTTAAATAGATAATTTTTAAGAAAAAAAATTACATGAAATTGAATTTTTGGATTGTTATGGAAAGTAATAAATCTGAACCTTGAATATAATGAAGCTTGTATATAAAAAAATTTAATATTAGACAACCTAATTAGAAGAGATCTTATTAGAGGAACTTTTCTATATTAGAATTAATCATAATCTAGAGAGTTAGGAGTGGTTATATATATATATATATATAGTTGGGAGTGTGTATATATATGTAATATATGTTCTCAATTGTAAATAAGAAAAAAAGTAAGTTTTCCCATCACATGGCATCAGAACCTCGTCAAATAGTTCCCATCTTAGCGTCATTGTTAGTCTTCAACATTAGCCTCCTTAGTCTAGATCACGAGACTTCTACTCAGCAATATGGCTAAGCGTCAAAGGTGTATCGAGCTTTGTCTTCGTCATCAATCGGAGCCATTTGTGCTTCAACTTCCTCCGTGTATACATGATTAGGGCGTCGACAAAGCTATAATATGTTTTGGTTGTCGTCGTCTTGTCTTCTTCGATCCAATCCGTCTCCTTAAGTCAATTTCATTGGTTGCCACGTTCAACTGCTTTGTTCGACTTAATTGGTGTAGCCAATTCATTTATTTGGGTTCATTATGTTGCTTATTATTGCCTTTTCATCAGTGGTTGCTGAATTGTTCGTCACCAGGTGATTTATCACCTAGTGCTTTGACCGCTATTTTGACACGTCCTTCAACACTAAATGGCATCATTTAAAACTGTTCAACAAAAAATCTTGTGAATAGTTTGGTTTCATCTATGGCTAAGATTACGAACGAGAAGTTAAATGATATCAATTATTTTTACTAGAATAAAACTGTGAGACTCTACCTAAGAAATATCTCATAAGATAATTATCTCATTGATAATCCCCAATTAAGATGAATTCAAATTATTCCGAGAGGATGAGAGTTGATGCCCAGCTTTTGATACAGATACGGAACTCCATCGAACTGGATCAATCTGGTCATAGCACTAATTGTGATTGTGCTACAAAAGCAAATGAGGAATTGACAATTGTGTTTTTTTTGGAAGAAAAAATATTTCTCAAACTTTTGATGTATGAAAAGAGTTCTATCGAGTTGAATAACATAGTCAATCACTTAACACTTAAACGTGTTTATGAAGAACTGAATGTCTTGTTGGACTTGAGTACCGATGTTTAGATTCAGTAGGCTCGAAGACAACAAATGATTATTATGAGTTTTCTAGCAGATAGAGTGGAAAGGGAAGAAATGACTTATTCCCCGTCTGGGTCATACTCGCCATCTTCGATCCCATCTCCTAATTCCTCATTTAACTTGTCGTCCTCTCTAGAATTCAAATAAAGCTTTTAAAGGGATGAGGGTCGGTCATCCATCTCCTTTCTATGTTCAACATAGCATAGATATAAGAGCCCTGACGCTCGTACGTGGTCTTCAAACTCTTCCGTCAAAAGTTCCAATTGCTCCTTCAAATCGTCTAACTCACCTTCCAACGCAATGTTATGGGAGTTTCTCCCTTAGCTCATCAAGAAATTTAGCTTCTTCCTCAAACTGTTTTGCCTACACTCAAAAGGAAGCAAGAAGCCAGCTTGCGCCTTCAACTTTTATCTGCAACTCCTTTTCTTTAAGAAAAATTTATAACTTCTTAGCCTTGGAAATAGTCCATTTCAGCTTGCATATTCTCTACAAAACCAGCATTGTGATGCATATTAGGTGCATCCCCACTGCTAAGCTACCGCCAGACTCTTTATCATAGGAGCATGCAGTTGAGATCTTCCTACCCTTTCGGCCAACTAATCCAAGGGCTATAGTAGGAAGAGTCTCTCGGAGTAGTCCATCGCACTCAACCAAAGCAAGTTTAAATCTACTAGTACGCAAGTTCATGTCTTATTGATTAAGGAGATACAACCTCCCATATCGACTTCCTCTTATGAGGGTCAGGTGCAAGTGCACCTGAGGATGTGGCAGCAGCATCTGCCTTCTCCATTTCCTCTACTTCGAGTAAACTACAGTAGGTACCTGCTCAGCTGCTCCTGCAACACAACCTTTTCTTTGCCTAGGACACTGGTATGAAAACTTGGGGAACTAGGATCTATTCTCGAATCACTATTCTAACTTCCCTTTTGGGACATCCTATCTCCTTGGGAGTTTTGTGAGAGGAATCATATCATCCTCATCTTGGTCTACAACAATAACAGGTGTGTCAACAGCTCAATCCTAACCTTCTCCTGCAGTTTTTACTGCCAACAAAATTGAAGTATTAGAAGCCTCAATATCTCCATCTAGAATGTTTGCTTCAACAGGTTCCCAATCTCTCGGTCCTCCTTTGAGATGTCATTGTGCCCTCCCTGAAGTAAAAAGCTTAATGCTTAAAACAACTGTCGAAGAATTATTCAGAGAATATCGTTATGCAAGTAAGATTAATATGCACCAAAAAAAACCACTTTCACCTATTGTGAAAAACTCAACATCAACATTCACATCATTTAACATGCTATAACTCTAATGTTTCAGGGGCTTGTTCTATGATTGGCAGTGCCATACAACCAATAAAAAACTGAGGGGCTGTAAGAATCATCCAAGCACTCATGCAAAGGACAAAACAAAATTTCTTTCAATCAGGAATCTTGCCCTGCAAGCCCAACATTATTACCTTCAAGGGAAAAACTAGTGTCATCCTGCCCTTAGGCCGTAGCAAGTTGTAAAAAACGTTCATCAACCAATACAATTGTCTGTCTTCGATACAAAATTACTGACTACCGAGTTTGGGTGAATCTGTGCAAGAACCAAGACATCCACTAACTCTTTGCATAGAGAAATATGAAGGTCAAGCCTGAACCGGTATTGGTAGCAGCATACCTGGTATGGAAGTATAGTATTTGGAATCTCAAACTCCTGAGGTAGTAGAAGAACTTAGGAATCTCCAAAGATACAATCCATTTGTATCATGGAGAAAGCTTCCTTAATAATAATCCATCGGACATCTTCAAAGCAAGGAAATTTTTCTTATTGTCATCCATAATGGTGGCAACCATATCTGCCTCTGAGTTGGAATCCCCTAAGTTCGCTATGATTGCAAAAAAAAATCTCAAGAAAACTAGAGAAGCTAGAGCACGACACAAAAATGCTAAAGCAAAAAAGAAAGAATCACGAAAGGGTAAAGAATTAGAATCGTTTAAACCGTTGTATAATCGTGAGGGTAAAAATAAAAATACAACCCAAAAATAAAAGGTAAGAAGTAGTAAGATATATAAAAATTGTGAAGTCACTTCATAATCTTCACAATTAATAAGTCATCATCACAAAGGTATTTTGCCCGTGCCTTAGCATCAAAGACTATATGGGCTATCTTTTGGGGGGAAAAATTAAAATTTTTCACATTATATGTCAAGTATAAAAAAATTTAAAGGAAAATACAATCATAGTCTTTCATAAAATAAACCTAAATCTTGATTATTTATATCGTTCAAATTGATTATTTCAGATTACAAAAACCTCTTCACGACTAATTGCCTTCTTGAATTAAACGGTCCATATTGGAGCAATGCAACTCGTTGACAAAAAAACAGCAACGTTGACTTTACTTATTCTAACTCTTTACGATTCTCCCATTTCTCTAGAAAATCTCTTGCCAGTTTATCCTTCAAAGAAAGGTCGTGATCCTTGGCTTTCTTTCGGTGCATATCGATCGACTTGCCTTCAAGATGCATTATCTTTTATGATCAATAGTTCATCCCAAACTTCAGTGAGCTCCTCCAGAGCTCATTCAAGCTTCTCAATGGTCTTCTCAACTCCTGGCGAATTGACAACAACTCTTCCCTCAGCTGATGTATATGATTCAGAAGGTTAACATTATAAAGACTCAGCGAGGTGGTTCTATGTTCTTCCACCAATGACATATTCTCAGCAATGGTCATTGGTTCCTCCTCCAAGGACAATCCTGCAGAAACAATGACTCTCATTTCCATGATTTTATCTCTATCCTTCATCAACTCCACAGTTCGATCTTCTACTGCTTGAGTATCTTTCATAATGAGAACATTAAGAATAGTCACATAATCCAATCATTGACAGAAAGATTTCTCTACAGAAGAAAAACTAGGTTTCATAAGCATAGAACCACAAAAAACCAAAAAAGATGAAAGAAATCAACACATACTCACCAGGACTCAACTTTAGGAGCATGATTATGTTAGAACCCTTTTAGCAATTTAGAGAATCCAAAATTTATGATCCAGCACCCACTTTCAGAAGAACAATTGTCGGTTCCCAGAGAATAGAATCCAAGACTGGTGGCACTGACATTTTTTTTTTAATCATTTCATTCATATTGGTTTTAATACCATATTCAGTGTTGCAACACTCCCCGTAGGGCTGTCCGATATTACTTTCACTTTGACGGGCTTTAAACTCTCTACACCACCATTCTTTCCTTTCAAATCATGGGAACTTTCACAATGCTTCCCTCTCTTCAACCTTCATTTCACGATCGCTCTCAACTGTTACTCCGAAATATCCATCTCTTCCATAGAGGCCTTTTACATTCGGAGCAGGTTTAGAGCAGGAAAGGATTCTCGAAAATAAAGGAAAGAAGTATGAGACCAAAACCTCACAAAAATGAAGCCCTTCATTCATTTTCTTTGCGCCAAACTTGGATAAAGCATCACAGGAGCAGCAACGATCGTGCGAAGAGCTTATTGAGACTTACGCGTTTAAGTTAGATTCCTACATTGCTCACTTACTAAAGCCTACATTTAAGGTAAAACGGGGAAGAAATGGGATTTATGATTTTGTAGGCCTTAGTTAAAGTTATCTTTTTTCATAGCTTGGCAGGATTTAAGTCAAATTATGTTATCAGTCATTCCCTAAAAGCATTACATCAAACTAAAAGATTAAACCAAAAAACAAAAGCAATCTAAATGGTAAATATGAAGTGTTGGTCCGGAAACCCATCCATACATCGAAGGGAGAGAAAATTGGTAACAGAGACCTTGAAACCGAAAACCCATCCAGCTCTAAGTCAAAGTATTAGCGAGTAAAGGTGGCTCAGAACCCATGGGCATGGAAAAAAATTGCGTATGTCAATCGTACGCAGAGATGTGTACGTAATAGGCTACAGGGGCGTTATACGGGAGTTATATGGGGTTACAAGCGTGTTATAACTTCCTTGTAAATTTCGTGTAACTCACCTGTAACCCGCGTTTTTATTTTATCCATTGGGGTTACAAGATTACACGGGAGTTACACGGGAGTTACAACGGGGTTATAACCCCTTGTAATCCCCGTGTACCCTTTTACGTACGTAACTCCTGCGTACGCTTGACGTGAGCAATTTTTTTTCCATGGGCATGCCATACAATACTTTTTATAAAGGTGACTGACCAAACATCTCGAAGAGATCAAAGCTCATATTTTCAAACGCGATGCCGTGTTCTGAATAAATGCTGTTTGATTTCAAGATTTAGCCAACACATAATCAGGATTTATGCTAAATCTTGTCAAACATTTTTTAGCCACAAACAAGGTTAATGTTAAACCTACCCAAAAGGGTTTAAGCTGAATCAACCCATCAACATTAATGCTAAATATCACCTACCTCTAAACTCCTAATTTAAGCGGTTTACACCAGAGATTCACCAAATATAAACTACTATTATTTACAAAATCCTACTTGAATTAAATCCAAACTGCTTTATAACAAGGAGAAAAAAAAAAGTGACGAAACTAAGCAGAAAACAATCCGACATTAGTAGCAGCGCAAGGTTTTACACCATACCTGAACCGATCTTCACAGAAACCGCCTTGTCGATTGCTCTACACTCGCAATCCTGCGTCCGTCGGAGTGAAATCTCCAGCTACCACCGTCGGCGATCCTTCTGTAATGGACGTGTGGTGCGGTTGAGAGTGACTGGTGTTTTTAAAGCCCCGAAGGGTTTAGCCAGACTGGAAACCACATTAACTCTTGACTACGATAATGTTACATATATGCCAGTTGAACGTGGCACCCAATCAGATCCACTGAAATACATCGTACGGTTACTATATAAGAATGACTCAGTAGTGCCAACTCGACTTCTAACTAAACATTTACTTTAATAGTGGTGTGCTAAATAATGTGATTTCTTGTGCTTTCATGCCTAAATGGGACGAATTTTAACAACCTTAAATTAAATTAAATTTAATTTTCAAAATAAAAATTCATATAGAATAAAAAAATAAGGAAATCAATTTTTTAACATAAATAATTTAGAGAAAAAAAAAATTTACAGACATGCTGCTTATAAAGGAAAAAAGTGTTTTGTTGAACTTTAAAATGTTGATCTTGAAGAGATTTCATGACTAAACGGCCAAGCAACGCCCTCCAATGGCTGACCAAAAGACTGGCTAGCCATCGACCTCCAAGGGCTGATTGCCCGACTGCCCGGCCAATGGAACTATAGACCGAAGGCTAGCTTTGTAAATCGATGAGCCCCCAAACGATGGGCTCTAACGAACAAAAGACCGAAATGTCATATATTATCCTTTTAAGCAACGGTAGTATTGTAATTTACCATTTGTCATCATTTCATTAAAAAATAGGACATTTTCACTTTTTGAAAAGATTTTGTTCTCTATGTAACTCTCTCATTCAATTAAATAAAGTGGTCAAATAGCACAGGAATATCTCATTTTGACCTTCGGGGTCAAGTACCTGTGAACTCTCTCTCTCTCTCTCTCTCATTGTTTCTCCCTACTAAGTCCCAATACTCTAACCCTTGGTGAGATTTACAAGACAAATTTGGATTCAGCACCACGCAACCCCTATGCCAACACCAAAACTTAATTTTTTTCAAACATATCATTTTGTTTATGCATGTAAATGTGTATTTCACATTTTAAAAATAAAAATAGGGATGATATGCGTACATTAAGAATGCGTATTGGCTAACCCGAGGAGATCAAACAATCTAGAAGGAAGAAAGTATGACAAATAAGGGTCCACCGACAGAAGGGCAAGAAACTTGATTATCCAACTAGATGCATTCATCCAAGCCAATAGAAGAACAAAAAGAACGATCTGAGTCCAAATTGATCAAAATATAGCAAGACAACAAAGCATCTGAGCTAATCACCACTGGAAAGCCTAGTGAAGGCATCAACCTACCTCTCGGTGAATCCGATTCAATGAATGAATCAAGTTCTTTGCCATCACCAGTTGTCCCATGAACGCTCCTTAGTTCCTCATCATGGACCAAGAATTGATAATATCATTGAACCTCACTTTCATCCAGAAAAACCCCTCTCATCAAGAAATGAGTTAACTATTTAGTTATAGTTTTTGTCATCTACTCAATAACCTAGTCTCGATCTATCGACAGAAGCCTCTCATTCAACGATTGAAAGTTGTTAGTCATATCATATCAACCAATCGACAAAAGCTAACCAACTGAGTCAGTCCAACCAATCTAAAACCAATCAAGTCGAGCTGATTAAATGCATCAACCTCACATAGCCAACTGAACCGACCTTACCGAGCTAAAGTACTGCTAGCTCAGCCAATCGAGTCTTGGTGCAGTCGAGCTATATACCCTTGCACATAAAATACTTATGATACCCCATACAACCACCATTAAAGCAAGAGGTAGAAATGTAATATCATATATTATACCATTTTCACTATAAATAGGGAGATCTTTTATGAAAAATAGGCAATGGACAGAAAATTCTAATATTTAATATTGTTCACTCCACTCATTCTCTCTCTCTCTCCTCCTCCCTTCCTTTCTCTCTCTCTCTCTCTCTCCCCCTCCCTTCCTCTCTCTCTCTCTCTCTCTCTCTCTCTCTCTCTCTCTCTCCTTTTCTCATTTATTATGCTCTAACACTTGAGGTGTGATTCATTAATATTCAACTGATGATCATGGATCAAGCCATAGGAAAAAAGAGGAGCAGCACACAAAGAAAAATCACATATTAGAGACACTAGTAACATGGAGTAAACTAGTGAGTTCATGAACCAGCTGTTCCGAGAGTTGAAGGATCAGATGTTGGATGTCATCCAAGAGGCATTACCTCGTAGAAGGGAACATCATCCCCGAGAGGAATGTTAGCGCCTAACTAGTGAAGGGCTCCTAAAGCTTTGTATAAATAAGGAGAATTTCGGTAATTTTGCAGTGTTGGGTCAACACCAATTGATAGACATCAGTTCGGGCATATTGAAGCGTTTGGCCAACCAGAGAATTAGATGGGAATAAATTTTGTGTAGATTTGAAGTGTTTGTATTATATGTTCAAATATTTTTCATTAAATCAAAAAAAAAAGATGAGAAATTAATCTCTGAAACATTAATATATAAGCACAAATTAAAGAGGCTGAAACATATTCTTAACGGATGGTCCCAACAATACTAGATGTCTTGTCTGTTACATTAAATGGGACACGTGTCTTGCCTTTTTTTTATATAATCATTAAATTTTAAAGATAATTTCAAACATATCATCCTAAATATTGATATTTTCAAATTAATATTTATGTGATTTTTTTTAAACGACTAATACATTTATGTCTTGTCATGATTAAATTATTGAGAATTTGATAAAAATAAAAAATATAAATTGAAATTTTACCACGAATTTTAATATTTGAGTGAGAATTTGAAACATGAATGGAAGGGGCGGTTGATTTGTAAATAGAAAGTTCGAATGATTTTCCAACCATTAAATACAACCACCTCACTATAATTTATTGGAAAATTTACATCGATGCCACCAAATTTTAATGTATTTCTAACCTATTGTCTGTCGGAAAATTCACGACGGTAAAATAATCATTTAACGTCTTAATGTCGTCTTAATGTTGCATGAAAAATCTTGCACACATAAATAACAAAAAGGTAATAGGTTGACACACCAATATATTATATGAAGAAATCTTGGAAAGTGGAAAAATTAAGGGGTCCAACGCAGTCAAAGGAATTCACTATATGATTATAAGTATATAAGTCCACTTTTTTTTTAATTAGCGAAAATGGAAATAAAATGTTGATGATTACGGATGCAAATTAATAACTTATAAATAAAAACCAAAATCACGTTATAACAGGTGTATTTTTTTACTGTAATGGCAATAAATGGGCACAAAAATCATAGTTGGAAATTATAATAATAGTAATTGATCACAAAGATCGTAGTAATTAGTTACAATAACGTCAGTTGGCAATAAAAATCATAGTTGAAAGTTGTAGTTATAATAATTGAAAAGTGGGATGGACTCTGAATCACTAATATAAAAAACATAATAATATGACATTAAGATTGAATTTTTATGTTTGTTGATAAGAGTAGAGTTGTGTTAGAACATATTAATTCAAAGTTAAGAACTTGAGGCATAAAATTTATCATAATATTATTATTTCTTATTTAACTTCATCGTAACAAAACAAAACATAGAACAAAGTACAATCCAAGCACAGAGTACTTTTACAAAAGCTCTCCTTAAAACACAAACCAACTATCTTTATAATTACCACACAACAAGTTCAAACACAGTCTGACCCAAGCAAACATAACATGTCTAAGCATAAGCTGCAGGGTTGGCTGCAAGATACGCCTCCACAGCCTTGACGCTACCGACAAAACCTTCCTTCACCTTCTTGATATCCTCAGCAACATCAACAACACCCGGGATGGGCTTATAAGCCGCGGACAGCTTAACAACAGACCCATTTCCCTTGGGCTCCACCTTAATATGTGAAGTTGCAGACTCAAACTTCTTCCCCAAATCTCCACCTTCCACAACCGAAGTCTTGAGCTCAAGCTTATCATGGTCGATGAAATCAAGCCGCTCCTTCACAAAGCTGAAAGGCACCGCTGCATGAACCAAATTAAGAAAAGTCATCAGCTTGAGACCATTTCGAGCTTAAAAAGAAGTAGAAGAGGGGAGAGCGAACCTGGGGTGAAGTTGATCTGTCTGATGCTCCCCGGATTACCATCGCCGGAAAGTGGTGTGACGCCGGTGATGATGTCGGGGAGGAGCTTAGGGCCGAGGTTGTGCCAGTCGGTGAAGGTGGCTTTGAAGAGGGGAGCTGCTGGGGCTTTGGTCTCAACCTCTACTGACCAGTTGGAAGCCATGTTTTAGTTTGGTTGTGGATGTTTGTGGAGGGTGGTATGGCTCTGCTTTTATAGTGGGTTTATGAGCGGAATGGTTGTTGTAGAATTTGTAGTATTTTAGATGGTTGGTGGGGTGATTGAATGATTTGTTGACTGTAGTTGTGTGAATGTGGAGAAAAGAGGATGTGGCGAGAGACTATAATCCTAGTAATTTCAACCCATAATTGAGATGCAGTCAACAGAGTGAAGGGGCGGCATCTAATTTCACAGAACCAATCTGTTATTTTGTCTGTTGATAGATTCATTTGGATACGTGTCTTTATGTTTTCTGATAAACAGCTCTCATCATTCATGCCGACCTTTAAATGATAAATACGTGTGTACGTCTGCCTAAAATAATGCAGGAAAAAATGGCATCGGATCCTATAATATAATTTTATATAAGCAGTGAATATTTTATTAAGTTTATGAGGAAGATAAATTTTGCTTAAAAATAAATATTGAGGTTGAGGGTCTTTTGGGGGCAGCTGCAGTTTATTATGAAACAGTTGTGATGCTGTTGAAGAATAATATATTGTCGTGAAAAGCTGAGGCAGTTATTTCAATTTTTTTTTCCTTGAAAAAGTCAGATTGAAGTTAGAAAAATGCTACCGCGTCTAGCCAGGACTGATGTGAAAACACTGATTTTAGCGGCAGCCTTTTTCAAAAAACTGTCAAAACATAGTATAACCAAATGCGTAGAACTGCGGTGTCATGCCACGCTGTCACTACAGTATCGTCTCAAAAGTGCATAACTAAGACTTAAACTATATATTATTACATTTTTTTATGTTATTATGTGTATCTTTGTTTTGTTGGTCA